TTCACCATCCTCCCTCAAACCTCCTACTGTCTAGTAGCCCTCAAAATATTCTCTGTATCTATGAGTTTGTTTCCATTTTTGTTGTTATTATCATTTGTTTTGTTCTTTAGATTATGCATGTACCTGAAATCACATGGTATTTGCCTTCCTCTGTCTGACTTACTTCATTCAGCGCAATACCCTCTAGATCCATCAAGGCAATATCTTTTTCCATCCCCTTCCTTTTACTCTATGTGTGCCTTTTAATCCGAAGTGAGTCTCTTGTAGGCAGAATATGTAGGGGTCTTGTTTTCTTATCCATTCAGCCACCCTATCCTTCGGCTGGAGCACTTAATTCTTTTTCATCTGAGGTACTCTTAGATAGATAGGCAGCTAGTATTATTTTTTATTCATGATTTGATATGTGTTTTTTTCTTCGTAAAGAAGTCCCTCCAATATTTTCTGTAATAGTAGTTTGGTGTTGATGAATTTCCTTTAAAAAGTAATGGTTTAAAAAGGCAGAGGCTGTGTCTGCACATATAAATGGAATAATGATTTTTCTGATGAACATACCTGAGAGATTACTGAAAACTTAAATTTCTGCCCAGGCAGGAGTCTCTGTTAACTGATATCTGGTCCTCTAGATCTGGCATCCCCAACCCCTGGGCCCAGGAGTGGTACAGTTCTGTGGCCTTTTAGGAAACTGGCCACACAGCAGGAGGTGAGTGGCAGGTGAGCTAGAGAAGCTTCATCTGTACTTACAGCCACTGCCCAGTGCTAGCGTCACCGCCTCAGCTCCACTTTAGATCATCAGGCATTAGATTCTTGTAGGAGCACCAGTCTCTGGTGCAAAAAAGGTTGGGGACCGCTGCTTTAGATTTTTTCTTATTATTCTTCCCTTTGCATCAATATCTCTCATTGTTGATAGAAAGTGGAAGGTCCAAATTTTCTAGGATGAGTTAGAAATAGGTAGAGACATATTTTTAATTAGGAAAGAAGTGTTCTTAGGGATGAGTTGTTTGAATGACTGAAAGGCTAACAAGTTCTACTACTACCCGTGAGAACGCTGTCATTGGCTATTTCAGGAAGATAAATCCCAGCATTTATCTCATTAGGTACAGAGAGACATTACTGGTCAGAGATGTGAGTGCTATCCTAAATCCTCAAAGTAAAGTACTTTTTTGTTGCCTCACATAATTGACTGAGAAGAGGTACATTCAAATAATTAATTTCAGTTTTGAGTCCAATTTTTATGTAGTCATGTGAATATGGCAGCTTTGTTTCTCTCTGAAAAAATTTTCCCAGCAGGTGAGACTATTCTACTATTTTTGATCAGTAAATATATATTATATATATTTTTATTTAAGGGTCTTTATATTGTAGACATCCACATTGAATACTGCTACACTTATCTGAAAGATTGAGGTGATGGGGTGTCTACGTGGAAATATGGATAGTGTGGATGTGAAATTATCTGTAGATCTACTAATCAACTAGTCATTATTGTGTGTCCTGTGGTCACACACAGATACGTGATGTATCTACAGTTACTGTCAGTGAAAGAAGCACTGATTGTAAAGAGAAAGGCAAAGACCTGAGGTGAGTTCTTAAAACGACCAACAAAAGATGCTCTTTGAAAATTCATACAATATATTTAAATATAACTAATATCTTAATTATTTATTTTAATTGAAGGAGGTCTGAAATAAAATTAAACTGGTATAACACAGAAGGTAACCAGAATATACAAAATGTATTTCATTTTAATATTACAGTTTGATATATTTATTGTCCATTTTGCTAAATAACAAAAAAACATATAGTGCAACACAAATGAACAAATGGATTTATAATTGTGGTTCTTGGGCTATTATATTTTACATAATATGTTAATATTTGTAATTGCCTTAAAATTTTATACCAGAAACTTAAAATTGTACACACTGAAGTTTGTTAGAATATAAAGTAATAAATGCCAGCTGTAATTTGGAAGTTCTGATATGGGATTTTGGATTCTGATATGGAAATTTTATTATGGGATTTTCAGATTCTCATATGCGTGAACCTTTTAAAATAATCACAGCAACACATATTTCTACATAGTCATAAAGAAATCTGTGCTCGGGGAACTACCTCGCTAACTCTCACTTATCGAGAGTCATAAAACTACAATATCAAGTACTATGGAGATATTTTGTTACTATAAAATTTTATCTTTTAAAAAAGCTATATATTTAAGAAGCTATATTAAATGATGTTTTTTAAACAAAGAAGTGTTAACTTAGTGGTTTAAATTGAAAGACCAGTAACACCATCTTTCAGTTTTTATAGAATAGAATCATTGATGACTTAAATGACAACATAGTTTACTCACCTAATTTTTACATCTAAATAATTTAACTGGCTAATAGAAGATTTATCCTGGTGCAAACCAACAGTGATGATTAATAAGAGTAAGGGCACTGGCAGATCCTACAGAAAGTAAAAAGTGGGAAAGAAACAATTGGATGTAGATTACCTTATGTCTTCTGTTCTTCGGTAGATGTGACTTTATCAGTCTGTAGCATCAGCGATGATAGAATGCCTGAATAAACTGGAGTAGCGATGTGAGTGAGGCGTGTAGAGTGTTCATCACAGCTGGCTCCTACGAGAAAGCTCAGCTTTTTCTGCATAGTCCTCCCTCCCTCTCCCTGCCAAATCTGTGTGGTTGGATTCAGCTTCTCCATTTGAGGTTTAGTAATCCTATAATTTCCTCAGCAGTGAATAAGCAAAGAGTTTGGGTTTGCATCTCTAGTTGTGCAACTTTTTTCGTTTGTTTAAGTTTGTCCTTTTCATTGTATGTGGGAAATCTGAGGAATCGAATCTTTTCTTTTTGCATTTTCTTTTCTTTATTAAAATGTGTTACGTGTATTTTTGTTATTTCTTCTCAAGAGGCCTCCTGAATAACTTCTGGAAGACATAGGGGATTGGGCCTTCAGCGCTTCCTCATTCAAGAAAGTCTTTTTGAAGACTTTTAAGGAATACTAATATCACTTACTTATCACATTAATATTCTTATTACTTGTGGATATTGATCTCTTAAATATAATTTCTCCTTCCTCATTTGACCCTTCATTCCTTTCATTTCCCACTATTTAGGTCTTCCTGAGGTGCATGGATCATATTTTTTTCCCTATTATTCTGCTTGCTTCTAGTCAAAATACATTCCATCACAGGCAAATGCTATACCTCATACATCCTAAAATGGGTCATCCCTAAGACATCCAATCTTACCCCATGCCCACAGAGGGATTTGCAAATTATAGTTATAACATTCTTTTGATCGTGGACTATGTTTATATTCCTTATGAAATTGACAAAGATCCAGATGATTTCTTCTGATGCAGTGTTCATAGTGAAGCATTCAAGAATATTGATCACAGCTGTCATTTAGTGAAACTTTATGGGTGCCAGGTGGTCTTCAGGTATTTGACTCATAATAAAATAACTGCCAAAGAGGTAGGCACTATCAGTACCTCATTATAAATATGATGAAACTGAGGAACAGAGAGGTTTATAACGTTGCTCATGTTCACCTAGACAGGAAGTGGCAAAGCTGGGGTTTCAACACAGGAAATGCAGCTTCAGAGTCCATGTTATTCATCATTGTGCTGCACTCTCCTCTGGAGGATGTTTTGGGTGTTAAATAGTTAGATGCTGAATGAGTATCTTGTAGTTATTATTCAATCTTTGTAATTGTAAAATCCCATTTATCACTGGCTAACATCGTTCAAGTCAAAATGATAGGCCTAAAGATTTTTCTTTAATTATAAAGATATGAAAAATGTCAGCAGAATAGAATAATAAGTTGGTGCTGCACAAAAAGTTTTATAGATACTTAGACTGCAAAGATTTCTGAGGTTTTCCAGTTCAAGTCCATTATTTTCCAATGAGACAGACATGCAATTACATTTTAAATGGCTCAAACCGATGCCTTCTCACACTTTGCTCAGACATCCCCTTGAGTATGCTGCCTTTTGGAATCTAGACCCTGAAAATCTGTTTTAGATCTCTCTCAAACCTAAGAAGCATTAAAAATAAAATCATGTCCCCTTTTCCTTATCTCCCTTTTCAGTATCTGTGTTCTCCTCCCTCATTACCTAGGTTACCGCAAGTTTTGAATAAAAGGATACTAGCTTCTAATATAATTCAGTTAGTTTAAGAATACATTCTGAATACCTAATAGTGTATGCGTGTTAAGGGTTGTGGGCTAGGCAGAGATTAAGCGGACAAAACTAAAATTCCTTAAATAGGTGACAGTCAAAGAAAAAACATCTGGCAGTCACAGAATCAGATCAAATCACTGGCAGAACGATGTGCTAAATAATTTTGTAGTTATTTGATACAGTTCAAAGTATGGTCTCTTGAAATTTAATGAGATATCCATGAAGACTGAACATCCTGAGTCATGGAGGACTGAACCTCTAATTGTGGATCACCACAGTATTAAGTGAGTTATTTCAGTAGAGCCTTTATTTTTGATGGGACTTAGATCATATGGTAAAGGTACTTATCACAAATGCTACCAACTCAGATGGCTTACTCTATGCCAGTGTATTTACAGTTGTTTTGCCACCAGCAGAGATGAGTTTCTGAAGGGCTGGAACCCTGTTCCAGTTTATCACTGCTGACTTCTGTGCCACAGACTGACATGATTTAAAGAAGACTATAAGAAACGTGTGACTGATGTCGGGCTTTTGATTCCTCTTCTCTGTGGACGATCCACGAAGACTTAAAGATAGAACCTGTTACTTGTAGCACCAGCAAAATTATCTGAAGAGAAATTGTCAAGAGAAGGTATAATGGGCTCTTTGGATTCATAGATATTTACTAAAAGTTTATTGTGTGTAAACCACTGTAGCAGATATAATCAGAAGTTGTATCCAGAGCATAATGGATGTATTCATAGTCATATTCATGATTTTATTACAGGTCTCGTCTCCTGACCTCTCATCCATGAACCAGCCCTTATAGAAGAGTCAATGGGACAGTCTAACAATGTGACAGAATTTATCCTCCTGGGCCTCACTCAGGATCCTGAGGGGCAAAAAGTATTATTTGTCATATTTTTACTCATCTACATTGTGACAGTGCTGGGCAACCTGTTCATTGCAGTGACTGTTTTTGCCAGCCCTTTCCTGGACTCCCCCATGTACCTCTTCCTTGCCTCTCTGTCACTCATGGATGTGGTTTATTCTACTACCATTTCACTGAAATTGATCATAGACCTATTGCTTGCTAAAAAGACAATTTCCTTCTCAGCTTGTATGGGACAGCTGTTTCTGGACCACTTTTTTGGATGTGCTGAGCTCTTCCTACTGATGGTGATGGCCTATGATCGATATGTGGCTATCTGCAAGCCACTGTACTCCCTAACGGTCATGAATAGACAGGTGTGCTTCCTGTTTCTGGTGGTGTCCTGGGTTGGAGGTTTGGTGCACTCTGTGGTTCAAATTTTCATTGTGTACAGCCTTCCCATCTGTGGTCCTAAAGTTATTGACCACTTCGCCTGTGACATGTACCCATTATTGGAACTCACCTGCACTGACACCTATTTTGTAGGATTCACGGTGGTTGTTAATAGTGGTTTAATCTGTATGGTGGTGTAATCTTTGTCCTTCTACTGATCTCTTATGGAGTCATCCTAAATTCCCTTAAAAGTCACAGTCAGGAAGGGAGGCGCAAAGCTCTGTCTACCTGCTGTTCTCACGTCACAGTGGTTTTCCTGTTTTTTTGTTCCTTGTATTTTCATGTATGTTAGACCCATTTCCAACTTCCCCACTGATAAATTTATAACTGTGTTTTATATGGTTATCACTCCCATGTTGAATCTTTTAATATACACCCTGAGAAATTTGGAGACGGAAAATGCTATGAAAAATCTTTTCTGTAGTAAGTTGACTGTAGCTATATTAAAAAATGTGTCAATCATACTAAAAACATTTGTTTCTAATGATGAAGCAACAGGCAGTGAATTCTAACAATGGATGATTTTTAATTCAATGAATGAATTCTCTAGGGTTTCTTTTATTTATCCAAAGGCATCAAAATGTGGAATCAATTGTCTTTTCAGATTAGAATCAACCTAATTGAAATTTTTGAGGATAAATGAAAGGTAAAAATATTTGTCGTATTGCAATAAAAAATAAACTAAGTTCACCTTGTAACATTTTTTCTTAGTTTATATGAAAAATGAGATGTTAGAAGGAAGATTTTTTTTCTTTTTCATAGTGATAACCAATGTACCTTTGAGAATTCACTTTTACTCAAATTATTGAGAAAGCAATGTGTTTAATATTTAGAGAGGTAATTTCTGGAGCTAAAAGAATGCTCTAAATATTTTAATGTTCATTATTGTCTCTACAAGCAGCTTTCTGTAGCTGCATCATGCATTTTGTCTGTAAGATTACTTCTGTTTCTCAGGTCAGTGACCATGAATTTGCAGGCCAGGATATTTAAATGGGAGATGATATTGTATTTGGTTACAGACACAACATGTGAGCAGTTTTGTTAGGTGGGATGTTGAATATATTCACAAGTTGGGGTAAACCTGTATGGACTGTTTGATAATGAAAACAGATTTTAATTCTTAATGAAAGGATAGAAAATGATCCTAATTCAAGTCATAAGCACATTTTCATGATTTAGCTCAGTAGTTTTTATGTGTACTTTTGCCATTCCTTACAGAATAGATGAGACTTCTTATTTTGTCTTCATGATACAGAAAATATGGGTAAAAAAATGTGTTATTTTGCACAGAAAGGTGTTCCCTAAAAGTTGAATTCAGCTTAAATATTTTTGATTATAGACTGTTTAAAACTGATTTGTTTTAGTACAAACAAAATTTTGTTTTGCAATTTTATATAAAAAACAAAACAAAACAGAATTTCTCAGTCTGTAGCCCATCCTGGAACATCACAAACTAGGAAGAAGATTGGATTGCTGTCCTTGTAATATGGAACATCATCTATGCTTTGTAAGACTTTTCTAACTAAAAAAGATTTTGAAATTCTTTTATTTTAAGATTTTATTATGTATTTTTTCATGGGTACCAATAATATATGCGATTTATTTCTAAATTTTGTAGTCTCCTACCTAACTTATGATCAGTATCACTGAAAGTACCTGTGTATGCTATACTTCCCTGATCTCGATGCTCTACCTCTTCCTAGAGGTCATCTCAGTGCTGAGTGCATTGTCAATAATAGTTCAAAATAGTATCCATTCAGTCAGTGATCATTTGGGTTGCTTCCAGTTTTAATATGCACAGAGTGTTACTGCAGATGTCCTGAAAGAAACTCTTGTGTACAGCTGTTTTGACATTCACTTTTACAGATGGTTACAATTTTCTCAATTTGTATTTTCGGTTTCACGTCCATGAGTCGTGTGTAACAGCTCTATCATTCTACATCCTTCCAATTACTTGATATCATCAGATGTTTGATATTTTTGTAAACATAATGAGTATAAGACTGTGACTTTATTGGAGCTTTATTTTGTAATTCTATTTACTATTGAAGTTGAGCACCTTTCCTTGGTTATTGGATATTTATTTTTTATCATTTTCTATGAAATGTGTATTCATGTCTTTTGTTTATTTTTTCCTACTGGGTTGGGATGTTTTTCTGTTGTTATTAATTTGTCAGAGATCTTTTGGAATCCGGTGTACCAATTCCTAATTTATTTATCTGTATGTCAGAGTTCTGTCTTTTACACTTCTATCATTTAATTTGGTGAATAGAAGCTTCTGAATGTAGTCAGATTCCTGTATTTATGAGTATGGTAGCATTAAATGTGTTATTTAACAAATCATTTTCTATAATGTAGTCAGTAGAATAGCATTCTATATTGTCTTTTAAAGATTTCAAATGTGATGTTTTTCAAGTTTCAAATATAATCCACTGCACATTGATTTTTGTGTACACTGTTAAGTAAATGTTATGTTTAATTTTTGTTCTACTGTAGATAACAAATTTTCTATGTACCATTTGTCAAATAGTCCATCCTTCATATATTGAGTTTTCATTTATGTCTGAGTTTAATTCGGATTTATCTGTTACAGTCAAATAACCAATTTTTCTAAAGTTGTGTTCATTTATATAACTTTACAATAATTTTTTACATATGATAGGACAAATCTTCCAACATCAGTTTTTTAAAAAAGTGATTTGGATACCTTGGGCCATTTTTCTTAATATACATGTAAATTCAGCGTTTTAGATTATTATATTAGAATTGTATTTACGCTATTGACAATTGAATCTTTTGAGCCCCGAATATAATACAACTCTGTATATACTTAGTTACTTAATGCTCTTAAAGTTTTGTAAATTGTATAAAAAAATTTGTTCTTTACATCTTTTTACAAATTTCTTCATATATATGTAAATATATATTTTCCACAGGCTTAGAAAATAGATTTTGTATTTGTTTTTTTACAAAATAAAATTTATCTCACTTTAAATCAATAATTGACATTAATTTTGTTAAAAGTGAGGTATAGCCACTAGTACCTTACAACTTTTATGAATTGTTTTTTAATATACTTTCTCAAATTTAATTGGTATGTTCAAAATATTTTATTGACATAAAAAAGATTTGATATATTATAATGAAAAAATTTTTTTTAAGTAGTGTTTTTGTAGTGTTGAATGTTTATACTCTTTATGTCAATGTTTTCAATTACATTCTTTGGAGTTTCTGCATTTTTAACTCAAGATTACATAAAAATTTATAAATGTTTCTTCTGGTTCCCTTATTTTTCACATTTAAAGCCTTGAGTAGACATATATGGCTGTATGTGGTGGGAAGATTTAGAGACTGGGAAAATGTTCTGTTGTGCATGTCTGCATATGTGTAAAAAATTTAAATGCCTTTTTCGTGTGGCTCTGTTGCCTTAAGACCAAGCTTTTGACATATTTTTGAAAAATTGAACCTACTTCCCTAATCTGATATATCATATTTATAATGTTTAAAGTCCTGATCCCCCTGTATCAATTTGTAGACTATTTCTTTTGATTGGTTAATTATTTAGAAGCAAATACCTCATTACTTGAGGTCATTTAAATGGATCTTGATATATGATAAGTGGCCTACCACTCAATATTCTTATTTAAAACAACATTTTCTGTTTAAAAGAACAATGTTCTGTACAACTCTTCAAATAATTTCAGAGGTCTGAGTAATCTGTGAAGATTTTTACTTACAATATATTAAATGTCAGATTAATTTGGAGAACATTTGATATCTTGATCACATTAAATAATTCTATCTGGGAAGTAGAAAAATATCTATTTCTTCAAGTCTTTAAGATTCTACAGCAATGCTATGTTTTCTTTTTCTTATTTATTTAATTAAATTGATTTGAGTGACAGTTACTAAAATGATACAGGTTTCAAGTGTAGAATTCAATAACACATCGTATGTATGTTCTTATCACATAGGGTTTTCACTTTATTTTTGTTTATTTCTATATATTTTGTAATTTGTGTTACATTAAAGAAAGATATCATTTCCAGATTACGTTTTCTAAATAATTATGGCTAGTATTCAAGAAAGCTAGTAAGAAAAATTTATGTTTAATCAATTCAGTCACTTTACTGACCTCTCTTATTTAATATGATATATTTTCAGTGAATTTGTTTGGATTATTGCTGAGTAATATGATATCATATTACTCAGGTTCTTAACTTTTGTGTATATATACCAACTAGCATTTTGATATGTAAACTATTAGGCCCTATTACAAAGGGAAACTCACAGCTTACAATGTGGAAACATGAGTTCAGGGAAATTTAGTTATTTGTTAGATTCATCGTCCGGTACTTATATTGTGTTAGGTAGTGAATTTTAGTGTCTGTGGAAATAGAGTTCATGAATGATTTTAGATACCAGATCTACAGAATCATAGAGAAATGTCAACATCTATTTCTGTCTGTGAGTTAATTGCATGGAAGTTTACTCACCTTTAGGGTCTTGAAAATATTGTGAATGAATCTAAACTCATCGCATTATGCATCCCACTGACCTCTTAATTTTTAAAAAGAAGCTCTCTCAAATTAGTTTCATAATAAATTTCAAAGGATAATGAGGCATGGAGAAAGACAGCCATGGGAATTTCCATGTAGTAATGCAAATGGTAAAGAGAGTACAGCTTCCATAATTGTATAAGATAATGACCCAGTCAGTCCATTCATCCCTCAGGAAATGCTCCTGTGGATCATTAGAAAAGAGAGTGGACTTTGGGGAAACGTAGGAAAAACTTATTGCAGAGATGTGGCACTAAAGTTACTTGTGGAATAAATAATGGTATATAATATCTTCAATTTATTTCGTGCTTATTATTGTCAGGTAATTTTCAGACAGCTCTGTTTGCATGATCCTATTTAATCTCTAAAACCATCTTACGTGTTAGGTGCTCTTATAAGTCTCATTGTACAGATGATGTCACAGAGCTGATAAGTATAGATTCAGAGGCTCAAATTCCAAATAAGAATTTAGAATCTGAATTCTCATAAAGTAGACTGCAGGACACCAAGGACACCCCTGCAAAATTATGAAACAAAGAAACAAAAGTGACCAAGTCAATATAGGAGGTAGGCAACAAATGGTCTCTGATAGTTAGTTTTCTATATTTGTCCCCAAAGTCTGTTCAACCATAATCAGGTTTTAGATGTAGAATTTTTCTTGGAATATATGAAATATTTTCAAATTAATCTTAATTTTTTCATTTTAAAAAATGAAACAAGCTGATTATTTGTTTATTAAGAACTCAAAGTTCTTGCTGCATCATTTTTATGGTCACTGCTCATTGATTTTAAAAAAGCTATTATATGGAAACTAGTTTAACTATACAGACAAAAGGAAACATATCGAGGCATAGATTGTGATTATATGTTTGAAAAGCATCTGGACTGAAACTGAAACTGAAAATACCAACCATTTGAAATGTAATATTAATCAGAAAGACTGAGATGAATCTGATTTTCTGCGAGCATGGAAAGAGTTGGTCACGTGGAAACAGTTTGAAGTCCTGTGATGGTACTCTTGCTATCTTGCTCTCTGTGTCCACAGGGATGCAGCAGTGCAGGAAGGACAAGGGAGAAGGCGCCACAGCACAGAACACAGATTGAATGGCTCTCTTGTTGTGCAGGTAACTCAAGAAGTGCATGGATACATAAAATTCAGACTAGGCTTTACATTTATAAAGAGTACATGGGTGGATTGAAAATCACAGTCTTTTCAAAGTTGTCTGAAGCAATTCTCATAATTAAGTGTATCTTTTGTGATTATGAAAATATATGAGAATTAATTCAGTTCTGTAATACTCTTGGATATTTTCATATTATAAACGTCCAGAATAAACTTATGTTTTCTAATGTCAGTACTCCTGGAAACTATTTTCATGTGTATCTATTTAGACATTTTGATGTGCAGATATTTCTAAATCTCATGACACTTTCAATTAATATGTTCTCTTAGCATTGTTTGTTAATGTGTTAAAAATTAGAGGAGAATGTAGCATCTGTAAAACCTGACTGACTTTCAGAAATCCATGGTAATACTGTAGTAAGCAAACTGTAATTTCAATTTCTATTTACGGGTGAGTTTCCACATTTCATCACATGTTTATTAGCCATTTAGTTGTATTCTTTCTTTAGTTGATTGTTTATGTGATTTGCCCATCTTGCTATTGGTTCGTTTGACATTCATTTGTTCATTACTTAGATCTGTCTGTTTTAGATATTCACTGTGCGTATGTCCTCTATAATGAACATCTTTTTCCAAAACTACTTTTATTGATTGACTTTATGGTATCTATTCCTAAATCTTTAAAAAATGACACTGTATATTTGGTATTTCCATGATTCTTTAAGGAGATTCTCCCATCCCTATAATGTAGAAAGTCATTTCCTCTATTAACTAGAATGTAAACATAAAGTAAACCTTGCTTTAGCTTTTCAATAAACCTTAAATCAGTTTTTATCTTTGTATAAGGAGTTAGCTACATGTACAATTTAATTAGCTTCCAGGTGGACAGCTACTTGTGGCAACCCATTTATTTCATAATGTGTCCTTTTCTCACTTATGTCTCTAATGACAAGTCTCCCCACTAGTCCGTAGGAGTTTTAAGGTTAGGGACCATGTTTCAATCAGCCTTGTTGTCTTATAATCCCTGAAAGTTTTGCAGCCTAACAAATCATAATGCCTATTTGTTGAACGAATAAACAAATTATCTTAAGATCTCAGGAAGTCACTAGTAATGATCATATTTACAAGTAACTTGTCCTGAACTCTGAAATTAGATGTACTAAAAGACATATGGAACAAATGAACAATGTGACTGAATTTGTCCTTTTGGGGCTCACTCAGAGCCTTTGGGGTCAGAAAATAATACTTGTCTTGGTCTTGTTCATCTACATCGTGACGATGGTGGGCAACCTTCTCATCGTTGTGACCGTTGTGGTCAGCCCAATCCTCAATGCCCCTATGTACTTCTTTCTTGGTTACTTATCATTAATGGATGCTGTGTTTACTACGACGGTCATCCCAAATATGATGAGAGACATACTCTATGAGAAGAAAACCATTTCTTTCCAAGCTTGCATGAGCCAGCTTTTTCTAGGGCACTTTATTGGTAGTGCTGAGATTTTACTCCTAGTGATCATGGCCTACGACCGTTACATGGCCATCTGCAAACCTTTGCATTATTTGACAATCATGAATCAACGAGTGTGTATTGTGCTGCTGCTGTTGGCTTGTGTTGGAGGTTTTTTGCATGCTGTACTTCATCTTCTCTTTGTTTACAACCTTCCGTTCTGTGGCCCCAATGTCATTGATCACTTCATCTGTGACATGTACCCCTTATTGAAACTTGCCTGCACTGACACCTACATAATTGGCCTCAGCGTGGTTGCCAATGACGGGGCCATCTGCGTGGTCATCTTTGTGCTGTTAATCATCTCCTATGGGGTCATTCTGCACTCCCTGAAGAATCTCAGTCAGGAAGGGAGGCACAAAGCCTTATCCACCTGTGGCTCTCATATCACCGTGGTAGTCCTTTTCTTTGTCCCTTGTATTTTTATGTATGTGAGACCCGCTTATACCTTACCTATTGATAAATCTTTGACTGTATTTTACACCATTATCACCCCTATGTTGAACCCCTTAATCTATTCTCTGAGAAATGGAGAGATGAAAAGTGCCATGAGAAAACTGTGGACCAGAAAAAGAAAATGAGGCAGCAGAGAAATGTATCACCTATTTTCAATGAAGAATTGACTCTTTAGGGAAGCCACGTGTGATTATTTAACTGTAGTAAATTCCTCCTCAGGTTTTATAACTTGCGCACGATGAAAAACATTTATTATGAGACTACTTCTCTTGATCAAAATATAATTTTAGGATTTTCTTAATTTTCTAATTCAATATACATATTTTTTGTTTAAAAATATTTTTAAAATTTTCATAGCTTTCAGAAAAATATATGTTCAAGTTTTATATGTAAAAGGTCTCTATTGAGAATATAGATTTATGTTCTATGTGATGAGTTTACAGTAGTTAATACTGTTAATAGCTTTCAGTTAATGGAAAATTTTCTCATGTTTTTTTCTTAAATAATGTAATCTTTTTCAGACTTAATAGTGCTCATTACAGGTTTCAGAAAAGATAAAAAGAAATAAGACATAAAATCTTGGTTTACTTTTCTTCACACAAAGGTAGCCCATATTAATATTTGAAGTATATATCTTATTTTTGTATCTGCAAAATACTTTAAGTATATAATTTTTTTTCATGTTGCTTAGCATGCTAAGGTGGAAGAAGAACGATGCTTCAAGTTATAATATTAATCATGAGGTGGCTAGATATATAAAAATAATATGAACCGTTCAGATAAGGAGAAGAATAACTAAATATTATGTATTTTCCTGGTTGAGGAATCACATAATCTACTCATGTGTATATATTTGTTTGGTGTAATGTTTTCATGAAGATGATCTATTACTCTTTCCAGGTAGCTATGAATATCTGATAATTCTCTTGAGGATATTCTATCTCCATTTTGATTTATAACATTTCATAGGCTTTTTTGTGTTATACATATAAAATAGAGAAATACATAATCCAAGAGATTTGTAGGCAATGCAGAACCTGCAACAGATATTTTGGGTGATAACGTTGTTACAAAAGATGCTGACAATATTTTCAATTCTTCTTTTATTAATGAAATATAGATTGTTAGATAACAAAGAGGCCAAATATATCATTTTATTTGACAGAGACCTCATTCATAAAATTCTTTGTATGAATCAGGCTTTAAACCAAATATCATTTGCCTAGAAGATGGTCGGAAGCATGTGGTCAAAGAAACTCATGATTCTGCCTCTCTATTTAGTCTGAATTTATAAGGGGCTAAGGCCAAGGCACAGTGGGTGCTTTTCAAGGGTACATTACACTATATGAAAACTTTACATCCTACATTTTATTATGACATGGAGGTTTCTTCTATCTTCTTAGTATTTTCCCAAACATAACAGTATTCACCAAATAATATCAAACATTAAATTTTATCAAAATTTACGTAATGAAATTCTCCACATTTGCACATCGCTATACACGGAATGTTTGTGTCCCCCGATTCATAAATTAAATCCTTTCTAATGTGATGATGTTTGAAGGTGGGATCTTAGGGATGTGATTAGTTCATGAAGGTGAAGCCCTAATGAATGAGATTAGTGTCCTCATAAAAAAAAAGCCCTGGGTGCTCCCTTGCTCCTTCTGCCATGTTAGCACACAGCGAAATTGGGTGTCTATGAAGTTGGAAGCAGGCCCTCGTGAGACGCTGAATCTGCCAGCACCAGATCTTGGTCGTACCAGCTTGTAGAAATTTTGGAAATTAATGTTTGTTGGCTACCACCTAGTCTATGAATTGTGTTATCGTAGCCCAAATGGACAAAGACAGACATTTAGTTAATGTTCAACTTTGTATAGTTATTTCAAGAGATAAAATAAAATTCTTGTTTATATGTTTATGTTGAATAGTTTATAAGTCAGAGAAAGTTAATTAATTGTCTTTGTTCTCTCTGTCCCTTAACAATGTCTTGGAAATAGAATTCACTCCTTAAACTTTGACAATTACCTATATTATTGAATTCTTGATTGCAAATTTTTACTGATAAATTTTGATGACCCCTTTCACTATTAAATATATATATGCTAGAAATATTTATCTTGTATATTTGCTCAAATATTTACCTTATATTATTTATGCTATAATTATGAGTGTTTTATATAAATATGTTATATCTTAATATTCCTTTACATTTGGTTCTTCTTTCTATTTTATCACTCTTGTAAACTGGCGTTTCCTTCTTTCAATATTTTACATATTAAACTTTAATATCTTGGTTTTTAGAAATTATATTCAAGTAACTTTTTTGACCCATCTAGAATTTATTTTGTTGATGATGAAAAAATATCTAGGCTTATTTCTCCCTGACAGGTAAAATAATCTGATAACCTTTTTATTAATTTCAGTAATAATTTGAAAAATTGCTATTTGATACATCTGTCGAGTCTTATACTTCTAGAAGGCTCAATTTTGGGGCTGTTTCTTCTCCTCCTCCTGCTTTTTTTTCAGACAAAAGTTGATTGAACAGTTCTTCTGGCATGGACTGAGGTCATTCTTGAGTATTTAGCTAGTTGCTGGGATTTTAAGGAGGGTCCAAGATGACTTTGCTCATTTGAATGTTGCCTTGGCAGGGATGAGTAGAAGACCCAGGTCTTCTCGGTCCTTCTTCTTTTACATGTATATATGGGGCTATATAGACAAGTCTCTCCAGTGAGGTCATCAGACTTGTAAAATGAAAGCTTGGGCTCCCAGTGGAAGAAACAGAAGCCATCGGGACAGTTAAGATCTCATCCAGTCACGATAACAGCTTAAAGTCCAGGGTCCCAATCTGTAAAACCAGATTGCTTCTCTACATGAAGGAAAACAAGTAAGAAAATTAAAATGCACCCCACAACATGAAAGAAAATATTTGCCAATCATATATGTCATAAGGTGTTAATATCCAAAATATATGAAGAACTTCAATAACTCAATAGAAAAAAAATCTCTAAAATAACTCAATGAAAAAATAGGCAAAGGGCACAAATAGACATTTTTTCCAAAGAAGAAATGCAAATAGGCAAGAGGAACACAAGAAGGTGCTCAACATTGTTAATCATCAGAGAAATGCGAATCAAAACCACAGTGAGATATCACCTCACAGCTGTTAGGATGGCTGCTATCAAAAAGGGAAGAGATAACAAATGCTGGCGAGGATGTCCTGAAAAGGGGACGCTAGTAAGCTGTTGGTGGGAATATAAATTTGTTTATCCACTATGGAAGACAGTATGCAGGTCCCTCAGAAAATTCCAAATAGAACTACCATGTGATCCAGCTATCCCTCTTCTTTGTGTAGATTGAAGAATACGAAATCAGAAGACATATCTGCACTTTCATGTTCATTGCAGAAATTTTCACAATAGCCAATACATGGAAACTGCATAAGTGTTCATTGACAGATGAATGCATAAGAGGTTAGGCTGTGGTTTACATATGAACGATGGAATATTATTTAGCCATAAAATAATATTCAGCCAAAACAATAGGGGTAGGACTTGAGGGCATTATACTAAATGAAATGCAAGACAGAGAAAGATGAATATTGTATAATGTCACTTATGTGAGGAAGTAAAAACAAACAGACAAACTCATAGAAGCAGAGTGTAGAATGCTGGTTGCCAGAGACTAGAAGATGTGGGAAATGGAGCGATGTTGGTTTAAGGGTACAAACTTCCAGTTATAAGATGAATAAATTCTGTAGAGTCTAATGTACAGTGCAGTGAAAATAGTTAACTATATTGTATTATATAGTTGAAAGTTGCTAAGATAATGGATCTTAAATGTTCTTACCACACACAAAATTGTAATTATGTCATTGATGGATGTGTTAACGAACTTCATTGTAATCGTTTTTGCAATATATATGTATGCATACATATATATGTATATATATACATATCAAATCATCATACTGTATACATAACATTGTAAACCTCCACATTGTTAAATGTGTATTGTATCTCAATAAAACAGGTAAAAACATAAATAATTTGATTTTATGAAGTATAAAAAAGGTCTATGAATTAGAAACGTTGTTTCTTCTACATACTTTACATATAATTTTTTTTGGGAGGAGAGTCAAGATAACCAAATAATACTTTTATTCAAAAGGAAAGGGTATGGTGCTTCCTGTAGTATAATTCTCAACAACTTTGTAGGCTTTCTTGTCTTTTGAAAAATTTTTGTTATTTTGTAGCTTACTCCATTATACAAAGGCCACATCCAAGAATATCGTTGAGACTAGCTCTTCTCAGATTCTGGCTGAAAGTCTGTGTGCAGTGGGATAATACCTTTAAGCTTCTTAGAAAGGTTTCTCTGTCTATTTAAGAGTTTAGGAAACAGACATTATCTTACTGAAGTCTCAACAAGGTTCTTAAGTCTACAACTTTGAGATGGTATTTATTTCTATGACATTTCTTTGGCAGTCTTTTGTTCTTTGGAGAGACTCAGTTAAAATATTCACTTTTGGTAGAGGATATGATTCTTTATATAGAAACTCCTCAGAGTCCACCAAAAGAGTCCACTATTAGAAACAATAATACATCCAGTCAAATTGCAGGACTCAAAATTAAGGTATAAAACTCCATTGTATGACTACATACTAATGATGAAATTTCAAGAAATGAAAACAACAACAAAAAATAATATCTTTTGAATTTTGACCAAAAGAATAAAATACCTAGGCATGAACTTCACAAAGCATGTGAAGGACCTATACACTGAAAACTATAAGACATTATTTTAAAAGAAATTATAGATGGTGCAAAGAAATGGACAGATATTCAGTGTTTATGGATTGGAAGAATCTGCATAGTTAAAATGGACAGATTACCCAAAGCAATATACAGATTTAATCAATCCTTGGCAAAATCTCAATGACATTTTTTAAAATAAAAGAGCAATAAATTGTCAGATTTCTGTTACATCACAAAAGACTCTGAATAGACACAGAACTCTGAAAAAGAAAAGAGCAAGGCTGGAGGTCTCACTCTGCATGACTTCAAATTACACTACAAAGTGACAGTTATCAAATCAGTGTAGTATTGCAGGAAGAACAGAGAAACAGGCA